CCTTTCCTGCAACTGGAACTCTAAACGTAGCACTGGATGTAAACTCTCACTTGAAGAATTGCTAGCTTGCCTATAATTCCTACTTGAATAAAAGAAAAAGAAAGGCCTGCTTTCAATTTAAAGGCTTCCTCACTCACCCGTAACAAACTCAGGCGCTCGAGAACTCGAACAATGTCAAAAGAGGGCATTGGGATTTTAATAACCCGGCTTTCAAACTAACTTAGATATGCCATTTTATACACTCACTTACAAGAGGCAAGTTTTAGAAATAGAAATCAACTTTCTTACACTAGGGGAGATTCAGTATATGCTCACTTCGGAAAAGATGAATAAACAGTCCCTTCTAAAAAGGAGAAGGAAGTAGATTAGGGCAGACTAACAGCGCCGGGAAATGTATGAGAACTCGCCTGTCTTGCCTATGTAACTTATTCGATTCACTCTCCTGGTCAGACAGCAAAACAAAGTGAACTTCCACGGGATCTGCCATCGAAAGGAAATGGCCTGGACATTGCAGGAAATACATATATATATAGGCTGCAGATGGCCCAGAATATGCGATTGCGGATATACCTGAATACGCTATGGGGCTGATCTTTCCCTTGCTGGGAAATTTTATGTGAGCAAGCCTCTTTCTTCCTTTGCTTTGGGACGAGGCCTGTTATCTTAATCCATCCAGAGGGAGTGCCCTATAAGCCAATGTCATTCCATTCATTTCCCGTTACCTGCCAGCCATTAATTAGGAATTAGGAGTTTTGTCCATGCGATCTAACAGACTAACAGGACAAGCAGTAGTTTTGAAAGGAAATCTGGCAAGGAAAATCCAGCAAACAAGGGATAGGCATAAGGCAAGTCTTTCCAGTAAGTGGTCGCAAGCGAATGACCTAGGAAGAAGCCCGTTTACAAAGAAGTTCACATGCCCTGCAACGGATCTCAAACAAAGCGTGGCTGACAGCGCCAAGAAAGTATGGCTTACACTTCCTTAGGAAGTCAGAACTGGTGGAAGTGGGCTGGCTAATTTACCACAAGGGCTCAGGCCTAATTGGACTTATAAAGAGTTTTCAGTCACAAAGGAAGCAAGCTATTATTCCTTTCAAGCAAGAAGGACTCGGCTTACTCACCAGGAATGCACCCTAACCTAAGGGAGAGGGGATAAAGGGATTAGGCTCTGCAGATGAAATAAAGAAGAAGGATAGCATTTTCTACTTCTATCATTGGTGCTATCGTATATGAGGAGCTTTCTTTTTGGTATGAAAGGTGATGTGATCTTAAAAATAAAATCTCATAAGAGAAGGAAATGGGGGTCGTGGAAGAATTGGGTTCGAGTCCCATAGCCCCAATGTGTCGAAATATCATGATTGGGTCGACCAAACCAGGCCCGGATCTTTTTTCTTTTTTTCCGGTATGCCGCTCCGCGATAATGGAGCGAAAAAACCAAGTGGTTTATGGTAATGTCAAAATTTGCACCTATTTGTATCTATTTAGTGATCAGTCTGCTAGTTTCTTTGATCTTACTCGGTCTTCCGTTTCCCTTTGCTTCCAATAGTTCGACCTATCTAGAAAAATTGTCGACCTACGAATGTGGTTTCGATCCTTTCGGTGTTGCCAAAAGTCGTTTCGATATACGATTTTATCTTGTTTCCATTTTATTTATTATTCCTGATCCGGAAGTAACCTTTTTCTTTCCTTGGGCAGTACCTCCCAACAAGATTGATCCGTTTGGATCTTGGTCTATGATGGCCTTTTTATTGATTTTGACGATGGGATCTCTCTATGAATGGAAAAGGGGTGCTTCGGATCGGGAGTAATCACTAGTGATAGGGCAAAAATAGGGAGGAAGGACAAAGGAAAGAGCGATGCATACATTAAATCAATTGATTCGTCATGGTAGAGAAGAAAAACGGCGCACAGACCGTACTCGAGCTTCGGATCAATGTCCCCAGAAGCAAGGAGTACGCCCGCGTGTTTCAACGAGAACACCGAAAAAACCAAATTCAGCTCCACGTAAGATAGCCAAAGTACGATTGAGCAATCGACATGATATATTTTCTCACATTCCGGGCGAAGGTCATAATTCGCAGGAACATTCTATGGTCTTAATAAGAGGAGGTAGAGTTAAAATTTGCCAGGTGTTAAATCCCATTTTATTTTAGGAGTCAAGGATTTGTTGGGAATTCCGGATCGAAGAAGAATACCGCCCATCCGATTTCTTTGTCCGATTTTTTTTAACTTTTTTTTTACAGATAAGATATTTCGTTTCTAAGTTTCCACACTTGCCCTTCGCACGATTCTATCATAAAATGCTCGTTCCAATCGGAACTGCATGCAAAGTCAAAAAATAGGATTCTCTTATTTATAGAGAATTCTAGTATGGATGAAGGAGTTCAATTTTGAATTAAGAAGCCTGGAGATGGTCAGGTGGTTTCTTGTAATTTTGGGAATCTTTTCGTTAACAAATATGGATTCCCCATAGTCTCGGTGTCTGAGGATTTAAAGAATCCTAAAATATAAGCACGATATGATTTCTTCATTATATATTTATATATTTTTAGAGAAAAAGATGGATAGGATTTCTGACTTCCACTTCCTATAGGACATGAGGGCTTCAAGCCTATGCTTAGAGAGTAAGGTTTCTGTCTCGATCCGTTTTCTTTCCCTGCAAAACTCTTCTCGGAAATTTATTGCTTGACTTTAAACTAAACAATCAAGAAATTATCTTCCCACGCCTACTAAAAACTAGGGAGGAAGAACTTGAGAGAGTATGGTTATAGCAGTCTCTGTTCACTCATGCTTGCTGCTTAAGACTCTCTACACCTGAAAGATAGAAGTAGTTTGACGGCGAGGAAGAACTTGAAGAAGGAAGAAGTACCATTGGCGAAGTAGCTTCCTCCAGTCTATGTATGTATGGGGTGTACCCGATAAAGATACAAAGCAGCTGAGATCAGAATCAGTAGCATTGATCTCTCCGTTTGGTCTGACTAATCAATGTAAAAAAGATTCCATCGATCGGTGAAGCACATTAATGGAAGTGTGCACGCTAGCGCTCTACTCTAAGCTTCTAGTTAGCTCAAAAAAACGGACTCCCCTAAGTGGGGCACATGGGTTTGTGAAGATGCGTTGGTTGATCCGGAGACATGGCCACTACTGGCCTACGGTCCTGTCAGATTGCATAGCACATGCTAAGAGCTGTGATGCCTGCCAGAGAGAGGTATAGACTCAGCGCAAGCCGGCTTCCGATTTATACCCGATTATCAAGCCTTGGCCATTTCGAGGTTGGGCCCAGGAATAGTGAGTTGATATTCGCTGATATGCTTAGCGAGAATACTTCGCAGCCACAATACCAAGATGGGCTCAGATTTTTTGAACCAGAACTCTGTTGTACAACTAGCTGCTGCGATCACAGCCTCAGCTAAGATATATATGTAACCTTATATCTCAAGAGAGGACTGCTACTACACGGACACAGACTCAGTTGTGCTTGGCCCAAAGAAGTTCTTTCTTCTTCTGTCTTAGGTAAGTATAAGCTAGAGGACAGAGTCATGAAAGGAGACTTTTTAGCACTATTTCTACATTGCAAAAGATAGCACCAATGTACTAAAGTACAAGGGACCGACGAAAAACCTGGTCAGTCCAGAATGGTTTGAGTCACAGTACGCAGATCCATCTCGTACAGAACAGGTAGCGGTGGAAGCCAACTTCCGGATTGATTGGCACACTCTTAACATCATCAAGAAAGAGATGTCAGGCTTGGGATTAAGCAGGGGACCAAGAGGATACCAGTATATCACGGAGATGTATGGGTGGATACTGATCCAATTGATATCAAAGAATTGTCTTCCCTAGTTCACATTGGTAAAATACTGGAAAAAAATGCCCTTTTATCAGCGCAGAAAATTAACTTTCTTTCACGAGCTTTACTGCTTCCATTCTTTGTACCAGGGATAAAAAAGAAATTGCGTATAGTAAGAAAGGAAGAAGAATGATAGATGACTAAAGTAGGTACTGGGACCTTTTGGAACATGATTAGGGAAAAAAAGAATATCTAATAGACTGATACGTACGAGCGAACAATAGTTCTTATCTCTTCTCTGTACCGGTAAAGACTTTGACCTTAGAGTAAGGGGAGGGCCTAAGACTTTCTTTATAGCCGGGAAGATAATTTCTTAATCGAAGCCATAGCTTAAACCTGGATAGAAGGACTTTATCTGGTCTGGAAAGGCTCTAGGAATTCTCTCTACTCTAAAAGCCATAGGCCGTTGAGCAATAGACTGAAGAGGCATCTCTAACAAAGGGAGAAGGCCAGAGGTATAGATCCGTTAAGGCCACTTCTTAAGCAGGACTTTCGGTCAGTTCAAAAACCATTAGGTAGGGCATGTGCGTGCTATAATAAAAAAGGGAAGACCCTTAAATCTACTTGAATGGATCTTGGCAAGGCGGATCGAAAATCATTAATGCCAGAATAAAAACGCCAACGAAAAGCGGGAAAGTGGGGCTATATATCATATAGTAAAGCCAGAGTCAAGACTACATGCCTATTTTACTCCCAGATCGTACATTTCAATAGCTTTAAGAGAGTTTTCATATAGAAGTCTGGGACCCACCGGGGAAGAGATTGAAGAAAGTTCAGCTCTCTACGATGCTTTTTAATTACAGGGGTATTCTAATTCTTTCGGACATTAGCAAACATTGAACCGTTGAGCCTGAAAGAGTGAGAGCTTGATGAGATTTTTAGGGCCGATTAGACGGACGGAAATAAGCAACTAGTCGTGCCATCATACTATACCTTACGGTTGAATTGAAAATAGAAGGGCTTCCCTTACCTTCTATAAGCCGATTTCGAAATGCGTTTACTTCCCCTTTCTGGCGGCTAGTGCCCCACCTTTCAAGTTGACAGATTCGTATTACTTCGAGATAACTGTCAGAGCCCCTATTCTCGAACTCCTAGAGAATGCCATTCCATCGGGTTACCACGCACACAAAAATAATTCACATTTGTCGTCATTTCAAATATAACCTTCACGGGTCCCCTCAACATCCTTAACGGCCTGGTTCATTAAGATGTTGAACTGAGACTTCTGTGGACAAGCTGCGCGACAGAGGCCTAATCCTTGAGCTCTTCTAATCCCCGGAGACGCTCTAATCCTTACAAGGCCATAGACTAACTTCTCAAAGAGAATGATTACTCCATTACACAAAAAAGGCATCTGGTTGTAGGCGTAAATCCAAGACAAGGTTACAAAGTATTCGTATTCTCGCGATACCCACAGACAGTTTAGAGACCCACAAAGGTAGGCCTGGTGCTCGCTTAGTGGCAAAGAGGTTCACTATGAAATATGGACAGGATTATGAGGAGACGTTCAGCCCTCTTGCTAAGATTACCACGCCTGCAGCAAGGGCCATGCCTTGTAGTCGACCAGTGCAAGCAGGACTTTATTTTCGAGTTTGATATTCTTATCTGCAAGGTTAGTGCTTTTTGGTGGCGTACAATGCCTTACTCGGTAGAGACAGGCTAGTTGCCTCAATTCATTCTTAGTCATTTGGAATGAGATTGAGATGGTTCTAGCAGACAAAAGACCTTTGCGGGCAGAAACTGGAACGTACTTGAGGCGGAAGGAATCGAAAGTCTCTCCCAGAATAAAGAATAGCCTACCGGCTTCCCTAAAGCCAAGTTGCGCTTCCCGCGTTAAGTTTAACTAGCGGCTTACTTTTAGCCGTCGGGGAAGAAGTGTTGTGATGTTTGAGAACTCTTTCTGGCAAATAGACCTAGACCCGCGCGAGCAATTGTAGCCGAGCAATGGATAGTTCCTTAGGCTGATCTTGCCATTACTCTATGCCTTTCTCTAAGAAGGAGGTAGACGCGGTCTTGCAGGGCCTATAATATAAGAGGCTCTTCCGGCTTGAGTTTGCCTGAGTCTAAAGGACTCTTGAGGAAGAGTTAGACGCTAGAGGATTTTCCATCGACAGAATTCGGTAGGAGACAGTCTCATAACTCTGCAAAAATTAGAGTAAGAAGCTCAATGCCCTTACTCACAAGAGTAAAGAAATTAAATTTTATCTCTCCAAGAGACTTGACCTCTAGAAAGATATCTTATCCGAAAAGTAATGACGCTCTCCCTTTAAGAGTTCTATCATATGTGAAGCCTTTAACATTATATCCTCCGGAAGAAAGTAAGGCATGGCTTTTTCCCGTACCTAAATTCAAGGCCTGCTATCACAACGCCTACCGGAGCAGACGCGGGAGAGACTCGTCACTGTTAACATCCTCTCCTAAGCCCGGTATGACGACGAGCGGACTCCTATGGAAGTTCAAGAGAAGAAGGAGCTCTGAATGTCTCTCAAATGTCGCTACAAGCTCCTTCGGGAAAAGTAGCCCTGAGCCTCCATGACCTACTACTCCTTTAAAGAAGAAAGAGGGTCACTGGCCTCTGTAGGGGGGCCTCTTCCGGCGCGGAAAGAGTCTTCGCTTATACGATAAAATTTAGCTTTCTTGTGAGAAAGAACTTTTACAGTACTACTATTACTACCAATCTTCAACGTAGAACAAAGTAATAAAGTACTTTAGTAGTCCCAGGCCTAATATTACTGCGCCTACCCTGCAGATGAAAGACTTTATCCTTAGAGGCGGCTTCTAATTGAGTGAATGAATTCCTACTGTCTTACTAAAAAAGAAATTGCGTCTAGCAAGAAGAATCATTCTATCAGACTAGTCTCTATCATTAAGCGTGAAAAGCCAGCGCCCAAAGGTGCTTTTTCGAAAGCCGGTCAAAGAATCGATTATATGCCTGGCCAGAAGACCGATGAGCCTTACCAGTGAAGCAAAGAAGATAAATTCAAGTAGCTCTTAGAAAGGTAACTGAATGCGTTTCCGGTGTTAAAGTTAGAAGAGTAACTGCTCTCGTAGTCGTTTCCGCTCTTCTCTGTTTTGAAGCAAAGCATGCTGAAAGCAATAAACATCTTAAATTCAGCTCTAAAAGTCTCTTAGCCTACCGGTGGGCGAGCCTAGCTTGTCTAGAGAAGTATAACTAGAAAAAGTCCTGATGTTCCGTTCTTGTTGTTTGAAAAGATCTCGGATCCCTCATACTTGTGACTGTGAAGCGTCTATAAGGAGAAGTGGGCATCTTGACCTGAGCTTCTTCCCTCATATAATATAAAGATCTAGCTTCTTAATTTCAAGGTATAGTCTCAAATAAAAAAGAGGAAGCCCGACTTTGACAAGCAAGCCATAGCCAAAGCAGCAGCTTTCAGATCATAGTCCTAATTTCCACCTACCTGTCTCGCTCTATCATTCCATTCTATCAGTCCGTAGTCGGTCCTAACAGCGGTTGAAGCCTTCGAATCGGCTAAGTGTTTAGTATCACCTTAATCCATTCTTTTGCTTTAGTCTTTCTTTCTGAGTAGTCGATAGCGAGTCTGACGGGTCTAGCACCATCCGCCAATCGCTTACTGGTGAAAGGGCTATGTAGTAACCAGTCCGGTTAGCATTTCAGTGTCCGTCAGGAAGACGAGTTTGAATCTTCTTTGTTGTATGAAAGGCTCTTTTTATATTTGGTAGGACTTCCATTTCATATCGTGTGTCGGAGAATCGGATTATTATGATGAGCGATTTGACTCTGATCCACCAGCATCCACTACCGGAAGGAATTACCTCACTTACCGCCTGCTCTTATTCCCATCGATATGCCCGGAAACAAGAACTTTCTTTCTCTAATGCCCTTTAGCTTAAGCCTGACAAAGATAGAATGTTTCACTTGCCCTACCGCTGCCCGCTTAATACTACTACTAGTGAGACTCCTATTCTGCCACCCTATCTAGTAAGAGCCTCTACGGCAATGTTTGGCGCAATCAATATCCATAATCGCTCGTCTTTCATTGATTGAGGACTTGCCTGACCTGGTAATCTTCCCATAACACAGGTGGCTTTCGTCCGGGTAGATTATTTAAGTAAAGTGATCGTGTATGTTGCGGCTTAAACTAGAAGTTAATGATGAACAGGTCTTCATTTCCTTTAGGTATTGTTGGTTAGAAGAGAAGTCTTCTCTTACTCTTAGTCGCGGGTGAAACTTTTGCGATTGTTGGAGTTAGGTTTTGGGTGACGATGCAATTGCAAAACAACCATAAGAGCTAAGGACAAGGCTCCTCTTTCTCTGCTTTTAAATACAGTACCCTTTCATTTAAGAGAATAAGATAATAAGAGTAGTTGTACTCTTAGAGCCTACTATGACTTCTTCGTCTTCTCTTTTTCCTTTATCTAATAAGAAAAAGGGTTTTAGAGGCTTTTCTATAGCTTTCCAAGCCCTTTCTCTTAGCCAGGGGAAAATCCCAATCTAGAGGAGAGTTTTCTATAAAAATGTGAAAAGATGAGGAATTTCCTTAACTTACTTAATAGGTTACCTGATCCCTAACTAAAAAGTGGGGGTCGAAGAGAATAGATAAAAGATTTTTCGAAGAAAGGTCTTTGCCAGGAGGCCAGAGATTATTGAATTTACATAGCATAAAGAAAGACGGACATTCTGCTTCAAGTTGCCATTGAATTGCTTTCTGTTCCCTTGCTGAGTCAAAGGATGAACAAAAAAGAAATAAAAAAGGGCATCGATAGACAATAGACCAAGGAGCGAAAGCCACACAGTTGATTGCTAAATCTCTAGTTCGTGAGAAGGATTTGCTGCTTGAATTGATAGAGGAATAAGACAAGAGCTTATAGCGCCTTATCATTTTTTTTGTAATAGGAATGTAGTATCTTTCAAGGAAACTCAAGCAGGAAGCCAGAACTAATCCAAACTTCAGTTATCATAAAAATTGCAGAAAGAATGAGATTAATAATATTAGTTTTGCGGATGATTTACTAATTTTCTGCTCAGGCGCTGAAGATTCCATCGCTGTGATCAATCAATGCTTAAAAGAATTTGCAAATCTTTCTGGTCTTACTGCATATCCAAGAGTCAAATCGACTATGGAGATCTTTCTGATGCTGCAAAGTTAAATATTTAAAATCTAATTGGCTTCAATTCAATGAAGGTAAAATGCCAATAAAGTACCTGGGCCAGTCCTTCAAAGCTCTTAGTTAGTGATTGTTTGCCTCTAATTGAGAGAATCAAAGCTAGAGTACAGAGATGGATTGGAAAATACCTCTTATATGCTGGGCAACTGGTTCAGAGTGCTCTCTTTAGCATCCAAGTTTACTGGAGTACTGTGTTCATACTGCCAGTGCAGGTTTTGATTTGAAGACAAGAAGATCTGCAGAGAGTTCTTATGGTCTGGTCCTGATATGGTTAAGAACAAAGGGAATGTTGCTTGGAAATTTGCTGCCCTTTAAATTAAAAAAAATAAGGTGGTTTTGGGCTTCATTGGTGGAGTGGAATAAAGCTGCTATGTTGAAGCATATCTGGGTTCGGGCTGCAAAAAGTCCTTATATAGATTATAGGTATGTATTTTACATACAATGCTTCTTTTTTTTATAAGCATTTTGTTGTTGTATTTAACCACAAACCAAATAATGCTAGCTGGATTTTTAGGAAACTTTTCCAGGTGAGAGAGTTGGCTATAAGATATATTATACATGATGTTGGCAATGGAACCAATACATCTCTCTGGTATGACTCTTTGCTGCCTGCCTATAGGTTCTATAGTTGAAAGGTATGTATGGTGAGTAGATCATAAGGGAGCCTGGTGTTCAAAAAAAAATGTAAAAGTTGCAGACATACTTTCTAATTCCAGATGGTCCCTCCCTGCAGGTGCAAATAAACACCAGCCATAAGATACAGTTATATGAATTCGTGATCACTCAGTTTTCCATAAAAATCGCCTGGAGGTTAATCAGACATAAACAAGCTATTATGCCTTGGTTTAGGAGATATTTTTTAGTTAAGAAGGAACTCATTCGTGGACTGATTCCGACCTTTTACGAGAAGAAAACAGAGGAGCGGTATGGTTTCATAAGAGGTACTCATTATACAGATATCCTTTTTCGAATTGCCCGATTCACAGTGCCCACCTTATTCTCTCCCCAATCACACAGGAATGCTCGCTTGTCCGCCTACCAATGATGCCTTTCACTTTCAGATTCGACATATGGAGTGGAGAATGCCTCTACTACCTGTGCCAGCAAACAAACAAACAAAGACTATAGTAGAGTAGGAATGGTTTAGCTCGCTATAGGGGAGGGAGATAGTTTACGCGTCAGTTGAAAGTGGGAAAGCTCTCAAGCAGCAAGTACTTTTTATCCCTTCACATTCAAGTAAAGTATTGGGAAGGTATCTAGTCAGTGAGGCAAGTTAAGTAAGGAAATAAGGAAAGCAGCTGAAGCAAGGTGCCTAAGCCTTCAAGTTGCGAGGTCTTTTAGGGTTAGATATACTTGTAATCAGTTAGAAGAACTCGGAGCAGGGCGAGGAGTAAATTTCTCTTCTTTCTTTTCTCATTAAACTATTATATATGAAATGGTGTAATTATGGATCTCATTCGTATTCAAGTGGTTTGCACTAATAGTTGCTCGAAATGGATAGCTTTGTTTCCGGGAATTCGAGGATACTGCTAGCAAAGGAATGCATCCAACAGTGTTCTGTCTCATTGGTCCTCTCATGCCATAATTTGCTCATAAATCCACTTTGTTCTCCCGGAAATAACTTTTTTTATAAAACATTACGTATGTGACTTCGATCTGATACCTCTCGATTCAGAGAGGAAATGCGCATTTGTATCATTTTGACTCTCCCCATCTCGAATTCTACTAATTTGATATGGGACTGGTTGTGAAGGGAAGCTTTGTGGGAGAAAAGAGGAAAAGGTCAGGCTAGTCAAGGCTTTACTCAAACATATGGGATAGATTACGAGGAAGCCTTTGCCCCGGTAGCCAAGATGAAGTCTGTTCGTCTCCTGCTCTCTATTGCTGCGAATCGAGATTGGCCTCTGTTCCAATTATATGTTAAAAATGCCTTCCTGAACGGGGACCTACAGGAAAAAGTTTACATGAGTCCTCCACCTGGTTGTGTAGGGGGGGGGGGGGAGAACAATAGAGGTCAACTGGGATGGAAGCCAAACGACGGGGCCGAGAATCTGTGATCGATCTGAAGAACCACTGCCAGATATGATTCTGCTTCCCCTTCGTACTACCCGATTCTTGCCCGGCTTTCTTTCGTCTTAAGTAAGAAGGCTACGGTGAGAATGAGGATCACTTCGGAACTCTAGGAAAATGGGCGGGCGTTTTAGGGCGGGATCTAAAAGTTCTCCAACGTGTTGCGGAGCCTTCGGCCGTGAGAGGGACTTTTGGCTTCCTCAGGGCCGTGTGAAGCTTAGCTTGCTTTAGCAGCCACGTGATGATTCAAGATTTGTGGTAGGCGTAGGAGCTGGGCGAAGCGGTAGCGAAGCTCAGGTGGTGATGCAAGTGCGCGGTGAGCGTAGTAACCCCCTCGGGCATGCTCTTTGTACAACCAAGCGAAGAGCTAGTGAGGGCCGGAATGGAATATCGTATGTAGTGTAGAATCGGATCTGAAGCTCTTTACTAGGATTGGAACAAGCGAGGAACGAGTGACCATAAGCTCCGCTTAAGCGCTCAACATGCAGTTAGCTTAAAACATGTTCATCATGGTCCACCAATAATGGAAAGGCCATTCCCCTCCCTATCCGTTTCTTGATCCCTGATTCCACGAATTCGTTGTTACTGATTCATTCAAGGACTGAAAGCTTTTCGTTTTATGAAAAGGCATAGACTCCCCACTTCTTTGTCTTATTAGCGCAGGTCTTCGTAAAGGATGAAAGCCGCTGAACTTCAGACTCGAGTTGAGAAAGAGGGCTAGGCCAAGGATAGGAGGGCTTTCAGGGACTGGGGAAGACGGGTGGATTATAGAGCTAGGGGAAGATCAGAGGTTTGTCCGTTGGGATTGGGCATGGACGAGCCTCGACTGGGCCAACATTGATGGAAAAAAAACTTATCCCATCGCATCATTAACCGGTGTAGGATTAAAGATCAGGTCCAGGATTCGAGTAAAATCGACCTTCCCTCTCATCTCAGGGTGAGGCAAGGTAGCTTGCTTTGCTCGTTCGTTGTTCAATATCTCGGCTGCTCAAGAAGTTAGACTAGCTGCTCCTCCGACCCAGAGTGGATTCTAGGGGAAGGGCAGAGCCTCACCTTGCAGTAAGTAGGAAGGTCTTCGTTGCTGGGACGGGTTCAAACTGGACTGAAGGGAGGAGGAATGAAAGACTCCGATCTTACTAGGGATTCATCACTGGCTAGGGCTTTCGAATCAAAGCATGGGCATCTGCAACTAAGAGGGAACAGTAGATCGTCGATTGAAGAGCCAGGTCAGTCAACTTCTATTGATTATTGATTCGACTAGAGGGACTCCTAGCAACTTGTAGGGGCCCCATGGAGATGCAGGAGCCGCCAGCCGAGCCGGATCAACCAATAAATGATAGGCCTGAGGGATGGGCTCATTCTACTAATTAGTGATCCCTGGCCCTACCTAACAAAGAGATGTCCCTAAAATAAGAGGGGATTGGTTGATCGGAAAGCTCGGGCAGGAGTAGAGTAGAACATTCCATAAAAATCTTTCTGATCCGCTAGCTCTCACTCCTTGCCCTATTAGGTCAAGCAGCTTCCCTCCTCTCAAATCCTATTTTTTCATCGACAGGTAAGGTTAATTCTAAGGTTCCTTATTCCGGTTGTCAAGCGGAAGAAGAGGGAGAAAGAATGGGCACAGCCCCACCAGCAGCCCGCGTTTTCGACCCGAAAGGAATGGAAAATGAAACAAGAATCTGTGTTCACTATCTATGGAGCGGAGTGACTATCCTGAATCTCCTCTTCCCTATCTCCCCCTTGCCTTTTTTTCTTTTTATCGCCTAAAGGTAGTTTACTTGCTTACTTGTTAGAGTCAGGAGAATCCATTTCTTTTTTTTATTGTTTATTATATTATG